CCCCCCTGCCGATGGCATCTGCCTGCCCGGCATGCTGGGGGTGGGCGCCCCGCACGGACTGAGCCCGGCCCTCCCCTCGCAGGCGGAGTTCGCCATGTTCAGCGGGACACACGTGGAGCGTGACTTCGTGGAGGCACCGTCGCAGATGCTGGAGAACTGGGTGTGGGAGAAGGAGCCGCTGCTGCGCATGTCCCAGCACTACCGCACGGGTGGCGCGGTGCCCCAGGAGCTGCTGGACAAGCTCATCGCGTCACGGCAGGCCAACACGGGTGCGGGCCGGGCCCCGCACGGGTGGGGGTGAGGTGGCTGCGGGGCAGGGCGAGGCGGGCGGGGCGGGCGCCCGGCACGCGGCCAGCTCCCTGCTCCCCCGCAGGCCTCTTCAACCTGCGCCAGATCGTCCTGGCCAAGGTGGACCAGGCCCTGCACACGCAGACGGACGCCGACCCGGCCGAGGAGTATGCACGGCTCTGCCAGGAGATCCTCGGTGTCCCCGCCACGCCAGGTGCCGTCCCACGCTGTGGTGCTCGCCTGCGTCCCGGGAAGGGGGCAGTTGGCCCCTCGCTCCTGTGCCTGGCGCCAGGCCCTGTGGGGACCACGACGTCCGCAGCTCGGGGTGGCTGATGGGAGGGCAGCCCTGGCCGAGAACTGCTGCAGGGCCCTGGGCCCGGCGGGTGTGGCCTGGGGCGGAGCCACTGGGGACTGCGCTTTCAGAAGCACATGAGGAAAGCTGGTCTGTCCGTGAGCCAAAACTGCAGAATGTTGTTTGTGAAAAGTTGGAAAGGCACAGAAAACACTAGGCTTTCCAATGCTGGCCGTAGCGAGTCCATAGCATCTTGCCTGTGGCTGTACCTGCTCGCAATTGTACAGGCAGATGCACGCGTGAGATCGTGGGATTTTAACACGTGGCACGTTGCGCTGGTTCAACACTTCATGCGCGAGCCCTTTCCAGAGTATTTAAGCAGCACGTTGCGTTCCATCGAGCAGGTGTGCCTTGGCTTCTTGACACGGTTTCCTAGCAGGAGACTTGTGTGTGTGGCGGCCAGCACCCCCTCGAGAGTGGCCTTGTGCCTCTGCAGCGGGGGCACAGGGTCTCGTGTCCCCGGCGGGGTTGCCCAGGCCTGCCTTCTGGAAGGCCGGGCCGGTCTCCAGAGAGGCTGCTGTGCGTCCTCTTCGGGGGAGGGGACCGGGGCTGGGGACGGGCAGCCAGCCGCCGTGCCCTGAGCCGTGCCGCGTCTCCCAGGCACCAACATGCCCGCGACCTTCGGCCACCTGGCAGGCGGCTACGACGCCCAGTACTATGGCTACCTGTGGAGCGAGGTGTACTCCATGGACATGTTCCACACACGCTTCAAACAGGAGGGCGTCCTCAACAGCAAGGTGAACCTGGGGGGAAGGTGGGGAGGCCTGAGCTGCAGGCCCGAGCTGGAGGCCCGGGAGGGTGTCCCTGGCCTTGAGCCCAAGTGTGGCGCCAGCCCTGGCCTGGGCATCTGCTGGGCTTGGCTCCTCTTCTGTCCTGCAGGAAGTTTTGCCCTAGGTCATCAGGGCCTGGGGGTGGGTCCAGGAGCCCGTGTGGCCCGGGTGCACCATCCTGACCCTCCAGGCCCAGGCTTCAGAGCCGTGGGTGAGGGTGGGGACATCCCAGACAGACCCCTCCCCGGGGGAAGCCCAGTATTGGCCTTGGGCATGTCTTGGCTTCTCGGACCCTCGGTGTCTTTGCCTGTGGAATGGGGGCGTTAGTGCCCACGCGAGCTTGTTTCTCCCACCGGCCTGGTACGTCCCCAGGCTCGGGGCAGGGCCAGGGTCTGTCACAGGGAACAGGCGGCTCCCGGCTACATCGAGGGGGCTCCCCAGGCCGAGGGCAATGCTGCATTGGGTGGCCGTGGTCACCTCAGGGCCACCAGGGCCACAGTGGTGTGAGAAGCCCGCTGCCTCCCGATGGCCCCTGAGAGACCCCGGCCTGGCAGGCCCCGTGGCACGGCTGGGAGCCCCTGCGTCCTGTGGCCGCTTCAGGCAGCCACCCTGCGCTGGGGGTCCCGCCTCTGAGAATAAGACAAGGTTGACCACTTGGTGCCGGGGCCAGTAAGGCCCAAGGGCATCAGACCCCGTGAAGCCAGTGCTGGCTCCCTCCCTGGTCCCTGCTGTGCCCAAGGTGTGAACTGGACCCAGGTGCCACCAACACCCAGAGTGCCACAGCCAGCTAGGGGCAGGATGGAACCCGGCCCGTGGGGCCCAGAGCCCACACGTCTGCCGCCAGTATCAGCAGTGGCGGGACTCAGTGCTTCTCTGGGCTCGGCTTGGGATTTGAGGCCCCCACGCCGGGAAGAGCCCCCAGAGAGCTTTCTGGCATCCGCACGCGCCACCGCCCACCCGTGACGCTGACGTGAGCAGCCACAGGCCTCCCTGGGAGCCCGGGAAGGGGCGCTCCGAGGACCCCTAGGGAGGGCCGCAGAGCCCAGCCTGCCTCGGGTGGAGTCCGCATTGTGCGCCCTCGGCCCGCAGGTCGGCATGGACTACAGAAGCTGCATCCTGAGGCCCGGCGGCTCCGAGGACGCCAGCGCCATGCTCAAGCGCTTCCTGGGCCGCGACCCCAAGCAGGACGCCTTCCTCCTGAGCAAGGG